CTTGACGACTGTGCTGTTCTAGTATTAGTTGACCAGTGAACAATGATTAAAAAAAGCAATATTAGTGATGATAGAATAAATCGCTTTTTTATTCGTGGTGAAACAGCAGAACATCAGTCAAATTATGCGAAAGCATTTTGGCTTGAAACTAACTAAAAAGCGCTTCAAAACAAAAAGGTTTATTGAATAGCTGTTGAGAAATTAAGATCAATCTAGATTATCTAAAAGCGGAGGTTAAATACACTTTGAAAGACTTTTACACACACATACCAAAAGATATATCAACCCTCAGAAGATCGATAATAGCTATGCAATAGTAATGAATCAAAATGAATCAAAAAAATGAATGAGGGTAACACTCACCTAAAGTTTTATAAGCATTTTTTAAAATAACTATTTCTTTAAGCACAAGAATCGCTGCAGAAAAAGACAAATTTTTTTTCTGTTATGCTATTTTTTATCCTAAGTGCTTAATTTTTTTTAGTCTTTCTTGACCAGTCTGACTTTTTGCTTATGTGGCTTCAATCATCAGAAGATGCCTGTAAAACAAAGTAAAAAATTTGGTTTTTTATTTTTAAATCTGATTCGGCTTTCTTTTGCAATACAGAGCTTATTTTTTAAATATCATTCGTTTTTCAAATTTTGAAAGTCTTTTTTCAAAACCGCTTTCCAGCACTACTTCAGCAAGCAGTTGTACAAAAGCAGTTGTTTCAAAAAATGAATAATTTGAATGCACTCTCCCTACACTTTACTCACTTTTTCATCAAGTCATTTCTAATTTACTTGCTTGGCCCTGTCTTTAAAATTTTCTAAATCTATTTGTTTTTGTCGGGAACGAGGGAGGAAGAGAGGGGCAGAAGGAGACAAAACGAAAAGTAAAAAAGGCTCATTTGCCCAAAGCAGTAGCCTTAATTTCTAGTCTATTACTTTAAGAAATTAGTAATTTTAACTTTTACAGCGCGTCATTTTTTAGTTCGATTATATTTTTAATTATTTACACTAAAAAAAAACCGTGGAAATGAGACAGATACAGTGGTACTCAAAACCTTACTG